TCTTCCTCTCTTTCTGTTGTCCTTTCCTTACATTAGTGTCTTTCCTAATGATTCATGCCTTCTCATGATGTGGCAAACATACAACAGCCTCAGTTGTGTCATCTTGATGTCCAAGGAGAGTTCAGGTTTGATCTGTTCAAGGATACCTTTGCTTGCCTTTTTGACTGTCCACAATAATCCTCAGCACTGTTCTCCAACACCACATCTCAAATGAGCTGAATTTCTTCCTTTCAGCTTTCATCACTGTCCAGCTCTCACATCCATACATGGTGACAGGAAATATGATGGCTTGAACAATTCTAACTTTAGTGGCCAGTGGTAAATCTTTACACTTTAAGATCTTGTCTAGTTTTTTCGTGGCTTTCCTTTGCAATCCTAGTCTCCTTCTGAGTATTTATTATACTCTGTTATATACTCTGAGGATAATTTTAAACATATAATTGCCTACCTCTGCACACATTGCTGACAGCATTGAAATCCAGAACCCAATACAGAATGTATCTTCATAGAGTGTATCTGTACCACAGAATTATAGCAGTTTGACACCAAATTAGCAGCCATGGCTCTATTCCACAAACGTCTTTGCCAGATGTCTCCAGTGCTAAAATTCAGGAAAGAGCACAGTAATGCAGTAGTTCATGGGAGAGTTCTCAAGCAGAAAATACTAAGTATCTCACCAAACTATAAATCCCATGGGCTCCTGGGACAGAATCATGACAATTATAGTAGATTCAAGCTGCCATAATTGTGGACAAACTCTCAGTGACACTGGAGACTGATAGCTCCAATGTCAGCTGGACAGTGAATCAGTGACAGGTTTAGTTTATTCTTTGGGAGAGGACAGAGCTTAGAAAAGATGCTTTTTTGAATTATAGCTTCCAGAATTCTAAGATTCTGGCAGTTGTAATCCAAAAAGTGTAACTTCTCACTTCTGGGAGTGGGCTGTGCTAAATATTTCTCTGCTAGTTTGCTACATGCAAGTATGTGATATTTTACGTAGTACAGCATTCAAAAATAAGATCTTAAATAGTTCAGCCCAGAATTTTGACAACTCTGAGAAACATTTGGTTTTAAATGAATTAATGTTTTATGGTCATTTTCTTTTTCAAAAAAGCATTTTCATGTATGTCTGTTGTGCGATTGTTCTGTAATACTCCAAGATATAAAAAGAGGATTCCTGTGTATTTTTAAAGGATTGTGTTATATATTTACCATGTGAAAGATGTAGATAATATAGTTAAACATTCATTTTCATGGATCATACATACACCCAGAGGGCATTTTCATGCTGATGTAGCTTTAGTAACAGTCAAAAACTTCTTCTCAACCCCTGCCATTGTATCCTTTCTCTATGGAACTTATGCTAAAAATCATGACAAAGTAGTTCTGATGTCTGTGTTCAGAATTTGTTATATGCCTTCAAGGTGACTTCAATTTATGGTGAAACTATCCTGAGGTTTTCTTGGCAAAATTCATTCAGAAGAGGTATGTCAGAATACTACATGCAAGGGCATTTGGGGATGCAGGGAGTGCATATCACACCAGGTAACATTCAAAGGAGGAATGACACCACTTTTTCTCTAAACACCTGCCTTTGGGCAGAAACAGGCTGTGGCATTCACTTGTATCTATTTAAAACACTGGTACTCAGTGTATCAGTGGTACTGGTACTCACTGGTATTAGTACTCAACAGAAATGATGGTGAGAGGCGTAAGGCTCAGTGGGAGAAGAAAGGAGAACCCTCAGGTATTTTAAAAAAAAAAACCAACCCAAAATTTAAAATTTAAAATTAATTTATTTTTTTTAAAAAATACTTTTTAAAAAAAAATTGATTTTTTTTTAAAAAATTGATTTTTTAAAAAAAATCAAAAATTTTGATTTTTTTTAAAAAATTAATTTTTTTTTAAAAAAATAAAAAATAAAATTAATTTTATTTTTTTTAAAAAATTATTAACATCACATCTTACCAAATTTTAAATTTAACCACATCAAATACATTTAGGCTCTGCATATGTTGTTGTAATTTAGGCTCTGCATATGTTGTTGTTGTAATTTAAAGATATAATTTTAATTTTGCTAGTTGTTTATGTCACAACTATTGCCATTGATATAGGAAAATTATGATTCATGAGTAATATTAGTACAAAGATCAATGAGTTGGGGACACCATGAGTTACTGCATTGAATGATGCCAATCCTAATGATGTCACTGACTACATATGTATTTTCCTTGTGAAGATGGACAGTATTAACTATGCAAAGTTATTGTGTTGGTCATCTTTTCTTGAAATCTGGATCATTATTCAAGAACAAAGAAACATATAAAAGGAAAAAATAATATTCACTGTGGCAGGGGGTGGGTTGGGAGTCAGGAAATGGTGCTATTATAAGCATAGCAAAAAAAAAATCTAATGGTGTTGAAAAGTAACTAATCCTGAATGTATCCCCAAGTCTTAATTATAAAAGTCATCTATACTTTTAGGTAAGAATAGACTGAAAATTCTAAGTAATGTGCAGGCTTATTCAAACTTGTAATAGATTGGCTCAGATGAAGCAGAACTGCTTCCTGCACCAAAATGAGAAAGATCATGGCTTATCCTGATTTGAATTGCATCTGTTTGGAGGTTGATGGCATTTTGGAAAGCCATATTTTTCAGCTATATTTGCAACAAGTGCTGAAAGGAGAAAGGGCAGACAATTTCTCCTTGATTTCTGGGGCCCAATCAAACTCCTTTCCTTCTTTCTTGCTTCCTGTTTTTCTTCTCTGACAAATTTCTGCCAAAAGCAGAAAACCATTCCACTTCATCTGATCTGAGAACAATCAATTTCCTTGCCAGTGGCCCCTACATAAATCACATATTCTGGGTCTATTTATGCCAGCTGCTGGAATGGAGAGCATACCTTACACTTCTACTTCTTTCTTGCTGCTGCTGGAGGAGTAGAGTCACCAGGTAAATGTGTGCAAAGGAAGGAGGCTGAAAGATTTGGAAATGGAGAGTAGGGAGGGTGTTTGGGAACCAGCTGATTGGTTGAGATGTATAGGGAGGAGTGGAATTCTTTTCTGCTTAAATCCAAGTTTGGAAAGAACACTTGCCCATGTTAGTCTCAGAGGCATCTTTAAAACAGAAACAACTGCTTTACATGTTTCTCTCTGTGTGTGTTTCAGAATCAGATTTAAAGATATGGAAAGTGAATTTTCACAGGGTGTTTCTGAACTCCATGATTGCTTGGAGTTTCTGAACTCCATGATTGCTTGGAGTTTCTGAACTCCAAGAGTTTTTAAATTCTTTTTAAAAACTCTTGGGGGAAGTGTGACTGTGAC